TCAAAAATTAGAATCGTTTAATGGCTGCTTTTAGGTCATAAAAACAATCGGACACCGGTAGTTGGAACAAGCTACTCGCTTAAAAATGTTTCTAAACACCATTTAAAACCTTTCTTGATACAACCAATTTCGTTGTAAATGGTAAATGGTAGACTTCTTTTCTTCTGACAATTCTCAAAACATGCGTTATAAAAATCGTACGACGCCAACTTAGTTTGTTAATACTTAGAGTCAGAGCTATATAATTAACGATCAGTGTAAATTTTAACCAATCATTTTATTGAGAGTCTAGTACTATAAACTCTTCGTGTTCTCAGTAATACAATGAGATGTTAGGTTAAGTCTCTTGAGCTCCGGAGACATCTGTCTAAATTACAAGTAGACACTTGATTGGAGTTTCAATACTCCTCAATGACTTCCACGATTGGGTGGCACTTCGCACGCAACTACGGAAGATTTCACTAATTCTCAACTTGCAAACTGGTGTGAAATTTGTTTTCAGTTGTGAAACGTTAAGTTGAAAAGAAAAATAGCGCGTGTTTTAATGTTCCCTGCATCATATAATGGGTGCCGGAATTTTCTTTTTACTGACTGAGTTGCATGTTAGTTATGTCCGTTCCTAAACAAGACCTGATAACGAAAATTAATTTGGTCATACTTAATCACCGAAGTTGAAGAGCAATATATAGTTTCCTGTAGTCATCTGAGACAGTTTAATTACGATCGAAAAGTTCACTGGCGTTGGGCCATTGATTTTTACTTTGAAATTTTCTTTGAGTCTCAAAAAGAGAGCGTAGAAGTTTGAACTAACCTGATCCTCTACGTTTTGCAAAGGCTGATTTCAGAAAACTCTTCTTTAAAAGTATCCATCCAGTTGTTCGATTTTTGAAATTTGGCATTGCCAAAGAAAAACAATAATCTTATATTTTGACTGTTGTCAAACTTCTGAGCTCACATTTTTCCTGCTAACTTGTCGTTACTACCGGCAGTTAATTGGATCGTGATTGCTTACACAACTCACGAAATCAGTCAAGTCAATAGTAAGAACTTGATATTTTTCATTAAAAGTAAGTTATCATGGAAAAAAGAGACGCCAAATATACTCACAACACCAGGCTTTGTTGGCGGAGTTGCTTGGTGAACGTTAAAGCGTCGATTCTTCAGTTGGGCTCCAAAACTGACAAGTGATCAAAAACGTTTTTTTCTTCCCATACAAAGTTTAGCTGACGCCATCACTACTGATTCGGTGTAAGGACGCGCTGACATTTACATGTGCATCCGTCTGTCTTGTGAGCTATACAACTAAGTATATTTTGATATAAGAATCTTAGAAATGTGAGCAATATTAATTTGCTGTTCTGATATAAATCAGTTGATCTGTCCGAAGAAAATTACTTTAAGACAACGTAAAAGCCAGAGATTTATGGCCTTTACTTTTTTTGCATGAAATGAATTAGTCTAATCAGTTACCTAGCAGCATAAATGTTCCATAGTATTTCAACGTTTTTGACATTATTTTTTCTGCCGAGATTTTGACAATTTTTGCTAGAAGTACAACTTGACAACAAAGGCTACTCAGAGACAAGAAAGAAAACCGATGCTATATTAGACGTATCATCCTTTCCGTTCCATTTATGAGGTGAAATTCCACATGCATAGAAAAGGAAAGTACTTCGGTTAGTCAAAATAATGTATTGCATTATTTCTTAACCTCAGCTTTGAATATAAATTAGCGACCTCGGTTTTGAAGTGAGCGGCGTTTAACACCTCGTTCCACGCTTTTTGTAAATTTGACTGAATGACTGAAATAAATCTAAGGCTGATATAGCGTGTAAAGTAATCCTTCTGTACTTTCTTTTTAAAACTGTTTGCTGTTGATTGTCGCTTAGATTCCGGCCTGCCCCTCAATAAAAAGACCTTTCTCAACTCAAGTATGTTGAAGGAAAATTCATTCTCGTAAAGTACACCTTTTTAGAACGACGCGCAGGCAACATATTTCATGTATTTCGGCCTATGCTTAAAGTAGTGAAGGGGGGAGGGGCGAGGTTCGGCAAAGATTAATTTTGACCAGAGGCCTGGTTGTTGAGTCAAGTGAACCTAACACTAAAAGAACTTTCTGGGTAATTTATTATTATTTGTAATTTGTTTACCCATGGAGCACTCAATTCGTTGAAACGTGTCCGTGCGTTCCAGATCGAATTGGAATTTGGAAATCTTAGTTTTTAAGGAGAGGGAAAAACCGGAGAACCCGGAGAAAAGCCTCTCGGAGCAAGAGAGAGAACCAACAACAAACTCAACCCACATATGGCGTCAACGCCGGGGTTCGAACCCGGGCCACATTGGTGAGAGATGAGTGCTCTCACCACTACGCCCCCCTTGCTCCCCCCGAACGATACTTCTTTGTAGTCTCTTAAGAAGCATGACAACACGCGTTATTAAGGACATAACAAAGAGGTTTAGAAGATAAACAGACTAAGACAATTTCGACCTCACAAACGCCATTTCTCGGAGGAAAAAAGTTTTTTCGTGATTTTTGACTTCAGACTTGTTCTTTTCTTTAGCGATATAGTGTCATTGTAGCAAATCAAAACCAAGAAAAAACTTCAGTGGCTGTCGCAAATTGATGGTCATATGAGACGGTACACAAAGCCACCGACTAAAAAAGAATGGTAGCAGTGGTGGATCCAGGTCAGGGGCCCGGGGGACCAGTTCCCCTTATTTTTAGACCAAACTGAGGCCTGAGGGCCGAAAAAAATCTTTTTGAGACCGCCCCCACCCTCCTTATCTGAAAGTCTAGATCTGCCACTGGGTTGGTTGTCCAGCGTTCTAGTACGACAAATGATAAACTTAAGGCAAATTTTCTACTCAATGACCTCAATTAACCATCATAAACGATATCAATTTTAGTATTTCAAGTGCAAAAGAGCTCTTTTTGAACTAGTTTTGATCGATATTATAGGTTGAACGCAAAAAAGATCCCCCATTTGAAGAGGATATGATATGTGCGGTTAACACAATACACAAAATGGCACACCAGACATCACGTAGCAACTTTTCACTTTTCCTTCCTTCCTTTCGGGTGACAATTAATAGACCCTCTAAAATATCAGTGTCATATCAATATATCTAGTACAAAATACTCCAACCTTGAAATTATTTAACAGGGGGTATTCTGTAAGCCAATCGTAATGTATAGTAATTTACATATCTTCCAAATTTTCAATTACCCATCCGGCAGCTTGAGAGAGTGACACACAGAGGATCTTCACTAAGTAATGAGTTTTGTTAAGAACTGTTGGATAAAATTTTAGAAAAACCTCTCTTAAGAAGACTAGCAAACAGATTACAAGTGCCAGATCATGACCAAAACATCTTCCTTCTGATTTCCAAAAATCCAACGACATCACAAAAACTTGAGATAAACACTGACTTTAGTTTTAAAATTGTTAAAATATTTTTCTTCGCTTAAGCTATAACCTGACGAAACAAAACTTGATGCCACAGCAATGTCAAATCACCAAAACGCGAATGCGGCCGGCTTCTGAAACATGGCCTTATTTATCAAGGTCATCATTTTAGTCTTCGCTCCGCGGAAGGTATACCCTAGGGTAAATGTAACCTATATAGTTATGCACTTTAATTATGCACTGCGGAACAGGATTTTGTGGATTTGTCCGACTTCACCAATCGTTGGAGGATGTAACCTGTAAACTTTGTGAACAGATTTAAATGAGTCAATTTTTTGTTCATTTCGAATAGCTCCAAAAAAACGGAACTCTGTATCTCCACGCCCGCAGGTGTGTATTTTAGCTTTTATTTTCTTTTAATGTCACGCGCTTTTGATCATATATGCATGGAAAAGGCGCGTTATAAGTTTTAATTGTTATTATTATTATTATTATTATTACTATTATAGTGTAAATAGGATCCTTAAGCGACGACGACGACGACGACGACGAGGACAACGACAACATCAAAAAACGTCCACTGCACGGTTTACGTGTCGACGCGTGCGTATAATTCGCCATGATCGAGTACTCCTTACCTAATTCGTCCTACAGAAATAGTTTCAGTTTTTCGATCGCAGAAAAGATATGCCTAACAAAGGGTCTAACAGGAAATGAAGATTCATCTATTGATTATTACTCTGTGATTAGCCAATTAAACCACGGATAACCTGGGTACGTAGATAGCTGTTTCTCTTGGCGCGGATAACGAATCGTCATTCGAGGCCCGTGCCTTACGCTTGTCCTTTTGGGAAATTCGCCTCGTTGAGGTCTTTTTACCGCAATCAACCGAAACTGCGAGCTACGACAGCTGACCTCTCAAAGTACGAATTGTCGCTACTTGAGACATATTTTGTAGTAGGCAAGGCATTTCAATATAGTAGATAGACCATTCAAGAAAATAAAGAACTTTATTATATACATACTGAGAAATACTCACCAAAATATAGTAGATAGACCATTCAAGAAAAAAAACGTCCAATCAAAGAACTCCAATCAGAAGCCACAGAGGTGTGTGAGCAAAATTTTATTATTTGAACAAAGAGTTTTTCAAAGAGTTTTTCTATGTCCTGAAAAACATTTTGTGTTCACTTTAAGCCGGCGAAACAACACAAAGGGATAAACAGAACGAGACTACACTCAACTGCCTAACTTTGTCCCTTAAATTCCTCATTCAATTTTTGAGAACGAACAGTTAAAAATAATAATAAGTCAACGACGGAGACTGAACGCCAGTCAAGATGTTCAGCAAAAGGAAGATTTTCAAAATGTGAATGAAGTATGTATATAAGAAAAAGACATGGCGTCTGAAGTTGATCGATGAAGAATTCTCGTTGTTTCATGAAAATACATGAGTCAAGATGCACATGATAGATTTGTTTATAGTTCCGCTGGGGCCGAAGTTCACTGGCAACTTCTGTTCAAACACTCGCGGGCTTTTAGACAAAACGTATGCGTCTGTGGTGCATGAGACCAGCGGTTGATAGGCGATATTTAGCCAGCTCCCAATTCCCGCGTTCTGGAAAAACTGGATGCATCCTCCGCCACAGGTTGAATATATCTTTGATGTGTTACCGGGCGTGAACAACTTGTCAGCGGATAAATTACACTACACAGTGGTTCCAAGCTTAGACGGCTGAAGTTAGTCCGAGTTGTCTTGTAGTGACGGCCTCCTTGAAATCGAGAGCGAACAACTTGATGTTTGTCTCCACTGTTTGGTGCGGGAAACGAGTAGAATTTCTCTAGAGGAAGACTACGCTTTACCACAGTGCTATTAATGGAATTGAGAACGTTATGACTTGCTTGTCCTGTTTGATACAGTTGGGGAGTTGGATAGTATGACAGATTGACTTGAGGCTGTTTAGCAAAGGAATATTGAATATTGTCATTCAGTGAAAAACTGTCTATAATTATTGGATAAGATCCATTGTCATAGTAATATCCGCTGTCCTCAAAAACATGCGCTGAAGGCACATCGGGACTTAAATTTGACGGATGTGGCGCAGGGGCAATGGGCCGATATTCTGGATGTTTGCTTCCCGAAGCTGGCGCTCTGGAAATCTCAGGCGAGCAAACGCGGTCGGTAATTGAGAGGGATTGAGATTGGTCACCAATGTTTTCAATCGCAGTCGTAGCTTGGGATAGACCATTGATTGTTGAAACCGTCTCTAAACCCTCGCTTCTGATAAGAAGCGTATTATTATCAATGAATGCAGCAGTTGACTTTGGGGGTAACGGCAACGAAGATGACATTGTGGTTACTGATGTCGAGAGTTCACTTGATGGAGAAGACAGTGATGTATAAGAAGGCATTATTCTCTCTTCGACTTCAGATGCAATTGTTGCTAGGTTGACACCACTTGAATAACTAGAAGGTCTGTTTGATTGAACGCCTATTGCTACAGTGGTGCAAAAGAACGGTGATGACGATGATATGGATTCTTGCGGTAAATAAACCTGGCAAAAGGTGGATACACCAGTTGATATACACCTTTGGTCCTGTTTTGGCCCCGGAAGGGATGATTCATCGCTTGCAGATTCGCCCGCCTCGGAGCACATCTGAATCAGTGCTGTTAGAGAAGACTCGACTGTTTTCTCTGGCTTCGAAGAAGTAGCATTAGGAGGCACGTTCTCACACGACTCGTCAGATTCTCCAAGCAGGAGATATGGACCATCCTGACTTGAAACTGATACACCTGCTGTTGCTCTAGACGACAACAGATGTAAATTTTGATTCTGAGATGGCTGAGGAACTGACTGGCCGTCCTGAGAACAAGGTGTCTTATCAGCTTCTAGCAGAGGCAATGTAACCTCTGGACAATCCGGGGAGGTGCCAACTTTTGACTGCAGTTGTTCTTCCTTATCGTCTTCATTACAGTCACTGTCGTGTAATTGAGCTTGGAGTACGTTTGCTTCTGCTGCTTCAGTAACAGGCAGAACATCGACGTTTGATTGAATCCTTTCTTCGTTGGCTGAAGAGCCACCGTCTGCTGGAGTAACGTCGTCCGTCCTTTGCAGTTTTCGCGGATGATACTTTTTTCTTCTGCTGACTGTACTTTGGACAAAGACATTGACGCCATCTCCATTCTTCTTGGCATCACCATTGCAGCTGCCCTGTTTCGGTTCATTGTTCACCTCATCTGCACCTGTAAGATTGTCTATCTTATGAGGGAGAAAGGCTTCCAATTCAGGACGCTCTGGGGAGTATCTCAGTGACATTTGCTCGTCAAACCCCCACATCCATTCTGTGGATTCTTCGCAAGTTAACTCCACCTCTCCTTCACTACTATAAGGCATTTGTTCCGTGGGTTGATTTTCCATTACCTGTGTTGTGTTTGACACTTTTTCCTGGCTAGGCATCCCATTGTAGATAGGATTGTAAACGAAGAATGACACGTCTCTTCGTAGTCGATCTACATTTATTAAAAATGATAAAACAAAAAACAGTCAAAGAACATAGTTGCGAACATTATGCATTTTGTATGATGAAATCAAGGAAATCAAAGGCACAACAACCAAAGAGGGATTAACTCTCATAACAGCGAGTGACGAAGTGACTCGCTGAATGACTGACGAAGTAACAACAGAACGACAGACTGTCAGACAAGCGGGCTGCTGACTGACTGACTGACTGACTGACTGGCTGAGATGGTTGACTGACTGACAGACTGATCGACTGAATGCCTGACTGACAGGCGGACGTGCTGACTGACTGACTGACTGACTTACTGACTGACTGATTGACTGGCTGAGATGGCTGACGGACTGACTGATCGACTGAATGCCAGACTGACAGGTGGACGTGCTGACTCACTGACTGACTGAAAAGAGGGCTGCTGAATGATTGACTGTCTAACTGACTGACTGATTGACTGGCTGGCCGGAAGGATGAATGAATGGATGAATAGTTAACTAACAGATTGATTGACCGACTGACTGACTGACTGACTGACTGACTGGCTTGACTGACTGACTACTAGACTCAGTAAATAACTGACTAAGTGGCCTACAAACTGGCTGACCGTCAGTCACTGATTAGCTGACTTACAAGCTGATTGACTGGCAATCGTACTGGTCGACTACTGAAAGAACTGAAAAACTAAGTGAGCGACTCACTGACAGACATACTGAAAGATACACCGGATTTACTGAAAGGAGTCTGGAGAATAATAGTTATTATTATATGGCTAAGTCTGTCTTCGCCACGCGATTGGTCAATTTGCGGTCCGTGACTTGCTACACGCACCAAACTTTCAAAACCAAATGCTAATTTTGCAGTTCTTTATCTCGAAAAAGATGTTAAAGAAAGTTTTAAGACGTGTGTCAACCTTGAGGACTTGGATGTTGACTTCGTCCTTTAACATTTTAACCTGCGTTTATTTGTGAACGAAAACGATGAAGAAACTAAATCGTAATCTTAACGAAGAAGAGGATTACAATGAGTTACTTGAAAAATTTTATCGCAGTACAATGTTAAGAAGACGAACATCTACTGGCAGAGATTCGAGACGTTTTGCCTAAGGGAAAAGAACGATTCGTTCAACAATATGATAACAAACATACCTGCAGCTAAAATCACCTTAACAAGCTTCTTTGCCATTTGAATTTTTTTCAAAGACCAACGAACGAAAGAAGGATGCGACTTCGAGCCAGAGTCAGTGTCCGGTTTTCAAAAGAATCCAGCGTCACATTGACGAGCAAATACTTACAGTGCTCTTAGTTTTGACCGAAGAAACTTTTTCAACATGTTGCAATTGCATTTTGATTTTACTTTCAATGAAAAGTAGTTGTATGAGGTGCTATCTTTTCCGTGAGCCAATTAAAACTTGCATTTTCTGACACCTGTCAAATGACTGCCAAATCGCTTGTCCTGTAGCCTGCGTAGCGCGCGGGCGGTTTTTTTCTTTTTTTTTAATAGATTCAGCCGCGCCAAAGATGAACCATCGTTTTCTGTTCCGCCCTTGCTTCATCTTTCGCGCGCTTTGTGAACCACAAAACCGCCAGCTACGCAGGCTACTTGTCCTGCACTTGTTTCCGGTCCCCCAAACAGGAAGCCATATACAAGATAAACATGTTATTGACCTCGTTTTTTTCGGTCAGTACTGTAAATTACCGATACTCGTTTTTTCCATCGATTTATCGGTCTGTAATTTACAGTACGGACCGAAACCTCGGCTAATATTGAAGAGGTATTTATTGCCTAGTCATGTGTGGTACCTTTTAGGAAAGGTATCGCTGCACGTATTCCATCCAACTCTCGTTTGTCATAATTTTGAACAGGGCCAGCTGGTCCGGGCCCGTTCGCAGGATCGTCGCCGTTGTTGGAACTCTCTTCGAGGCTTGTATCATCGTTCAAGTCGTCGTTCCAGTTATTCAAACCGCTCCTAAACTCCATGCGGCGCCTATCACAGGAAAGAAAAGATCACACACGATTTAACACGAGTCAATTTATTTTCAGCTCTTCTTCCCGCTATGTCAAGCTAAGCTTATTGTGCCATGTTATTTTCTGTGAATTTGTGAGGCTTGAGCGAATCTGCCTGGCAAGAGCATACTTTTTTTAAAATTTGGTCATATTGTCACATATTTTAGACGATTCTCGCATACTAGGGACCGTTCATTTTTATTAGGTAGGGGGCTGATGGGATTTGAGGGGGGAGGGGGCATGCCAAGAAATATGGCTTCAAGGGGGGAGGGCAGGCAAAATACATTGGGTAAAAAGAGGGGGTCACCAAAAAAATTCTTTCAAGTTTTGCAATGACAGCATCTGTGATAACGCAAACAAGCTACCAGAATGCCAAAAAATTCAGAAAGTTCAGATTTTCTCGGGAAGCATGCCCCCGGACCCTCCGCTTAATTATGCACAAAAAACCCATCAAAATGCGAAAAAAGACATACCAAATGTACCGTACCATATACCCATCGTACCATTGCGAAAAAAAAATCTCTACTGCCGCAATAAAAAAATGGAATCTCTCTTGCCGTTGAGAAGAGTCGTTGGTAATTAAAGTTATTTCAAAAATTTTAGTGACTGAACTTACCGTTTGGCTTGTCCATGGACTCCATTTTTTCTAAAAGCAGTAGCAAAAGGATTGGTGTTTATTTTGAGTCTAGTGATCTTAGGGAAAAAAAACAAAAACAAAGATTAGTTCTGTTAAAGGCTAAACATAATTCGGAAATGGCAAGTTTGTGTATACGGTATGGGTCAACCCGTATGCTTATAAACAGAATGTAAACACTAACATCAGCAAAGATTTCCCTGTCCAAACAGATCACTTCGTTTCACTGGTGTGGGATTGTCCTGTGAGAAGGTAGTGGTTTCTCCAGGCCGGACCCTACGCCACGAAGGGAGAGAAACCACCTCGAGCAACCGTTTGGTTTTCCATCTAGCATGCGCGTCCACGTGACGCGGCTTACGTCAAAACGTCAAATTACATCACTTTTCCTTCTTTTGAAAGAAACATTAGGGACTCTTATATACAACGACGCGGCCGCAACGAGAACTTCAAAAAATAACAATAGGTTTAATAAGCAAACATGCATGACACTTTTTTGTACTTTTCGTTACTGCTTTTGCACTACTACGACGTGAAAATGCCTAATTTCGCTTTTTATGGAGAACGTAAACAAGCAACGACGAAATTTTATTTCCTTTCTGAGCCTGGATATGCTCCCTAGGAATTCAATTCCAGTTTGGTTCGCCTACATTTGACAAAGTAAGTGTTTAGGAATAATCGCAATAGAGCCCAAAAAACCGCAAACTCACAGCACGCACGCGTTAAGGCAGCAGTTATAAGCGTAAGAAGTTAATTTACTCGTTCTTGGCACTGGACGGCGGCTAGATAAAAAAAGGCCCGTGGTTTCTCTCCCTTCGTAGCGTGACGTCCAGCCTAGAGAAACCACTACTAGCAGGGTATGGTGGGATTAAAGTAGCATACCTGTTTATTTCTGTATGCCGACACGGCAATAAAGTCAGTTTCAGGGAAGCAAAACTCCGTCCTTAACTTGTAGTCGAAGGAAGTACCATCTTGACTTTCTATCACGTGAATTCGCGGGAAATAACGACGCATCGTGTACAATAGTATCACCTGAGAAAAAAGGCACTTATAAATGATATACAGTCGAACCTAACGTAAGTTACCGCCCAAAATGCTAACATTTGGTTGTCGCTCGCGAGAATTAAACTGCATGAGTCTCTTTCGAGAAGGGGGTTCCGAGACATCTTAAATTTGATAAAAATATTATTACATGCAGTTTCTAACCGCAAGTTACGATATGTGTAGTTCAACGTTTTCATTAAAACTTCTTCGCATACTCTTAATAGCGTGACTCAATTCGCCAACGTAAGGATCACACTAGCGTCAATTGGTCGCCAAAAGAGAGAATAATGGCGGGATAGAAAGGATAAATGGATTTCATCAAAGTTATTTTTAGACCAATTTAATGCTTGAAATTAATCGGAAGTTGGTTTCCGTAGAGGTCCGCAAATTTTTATTCAGTGTTTTGTCAAGAGAGAATTTAACAGTCGCCATTACAATATTCTGCATTGTTTACTCTGCATTGTTAACTTTGTGGCAGTCACGAATGGACTTGATGACGTTTCAAATTCACTTCAAATTCTGCGGACGTCTCAGGAATTATGCTTCCGTTTAAATACAACCTCTCAAAAATAACTTAAGTGAAACTCGCATAAGATTCCCTCTCTGTCCGATTATTCTCTCTTGGTCGCCTAGAGGAGGTTAAAAATAGTGGAAAAGTGGTTGCGGTCGTGGTTGAGGTTCCAACTACAGGAATTTGACAGCGAAAATTAGAGTCTTTCTGCAAGTACTGACATCACAAAAGAATCAAAGGAACCAAACAATAGAGTTCTCCTGGGGGCTTTATTGTTTGGTTGTATTGTTTCTTTTGTGACAGAGGTATATGAAATAAATCATATGAGAACTGCGGGGGACCGGTAAATCGATGGAAAAAAAGGCTAAAAAGATGTTTATTATATGGCTTTAAATTCCTGTAGAAGCCTGAACAAAATTCAGGACTTCAAGGGAATTTGAACCCGTGACCTCGCGATACCGGTGCGATACTCTAACCTACTGAGCTATGAAGCCACTGACGTTGAGAGAACTTATCCTCTTGGCTTAAAACCTATTCTAGACAGCAGTAACTTACTTGATTAGAACTCCAAGCCGTCTTCTCACTGTTAGTTAATTTCAGCTTTCCAAAACCAAGCCCGTTTTTCATAAGAATAGCACCAGTTGTAGGCGTTTTCGGGTGAAGGTACATTCTGGAAAAAGCTTCCTCATGAATCACGCCCCAAGGGACCCAACAATTTAAGGACGTATCAAAGCAGTATTTGTAATTATCTGCAAACACGAAGTCTACCATTACAGCGTACACTTTATTTGGGTTAAGATCTTCGAATGTCAATGAAACCATTGGACACATTCGCCTGAAACAGGAGACAAGCAATTAATCATTCTTTCAAAATGATTTAGCCAAATCTGTTTGGCCTAAAACCCCCGGCTAAGTTTTCATAGAGCACCACCGTTGATAGAATTTTAAAGATCAACGTTAGTTGTCCAATAATAGGAAAATAATTGGACGAATGACGTCAGGATAATGTTGGGCAAGGATGAATTTTTGGACGAATGACGTGACGGAAGGGTAGCAGCTCGGCGGCTTTGTAGTGCAAATCTTCAGAAAAGTTTTGGAAGAAACGCTCTTGATGGGTATCAACCGCAGATGCTCCCCTCGATTTCCATAATTCTTCATATCATACTCAGATCCCACTACATTTATTTCGGGGATGCAGTGGAACCTCGATATAACGAAGAGCAAAGGGACTGGCATGACATCATGTATGTTACAACGAAGTTTCATTATATCCGGGTTCTTTTTTTCTTTTTCAATAACTGGGGTAAAGAAAATTGTTCGTTATTCCGAGAACCTCATTCTATAGATGTTCGTTATATCAAGATTCCCCTGTGATTAATTTCGCGAACTTGGCGAGATAGTACTGATTTCGTGTAGTTTTACTTTAACGATTTCCATAGGCAAATATGTAGAAAATAAGTTAAACTGGACCTTCACTGGACCTGCTCAAAACTCGAATTGGATAATCAACGTTAGGCGTAAATAATCACAAGACCAGAAAGGTGTTTTCTCAACCTTCTGCTAAATGCACGAAAAGTGATTATCATCTTGACGCAAACAGTGCTAATAAAAAGCTTACAAAAAGAGGAAAGAGACAAAAGTCTCAGTTAACGATGCTTTATTTTAACTGAGTGGTGTTCAAAGTGTTAAAATGTTGCGAAATTTTTCAGGTACCTTAATGGTACTTAATTGTGCCGTTCTTTAATTTTGCTTTTGTAGCGATAAAGATCCGGGAATAAAACGCCTTGTGAAATTTAGTGCCCATTTTTCATATTTTCCTATTAAATTGCGCAAATACACCCCCGTGAAATATTGTCTCACCCTGGCAAATTCGCGAGATTAAGTACCCATAAGGTCGAGAGGAACTTTCTAGGCTTCACACAGTAATCTGGTAAATCAAGACTCATTTGTCTTTGGACATTTAAATCCCCACCCCTACCCCCCCACACACATACACACAAAAATGGTTTTGACCGAGTTATGTTATTTATCACATCTGCAGCTTGACAGGGATAATGTTCTTTAGCCACTACGCAAAAGTTCTACCCTGCGAGCAGAGTCTAACACTTTAAAAACAGACAAAACGACTATGAGACTCTCGAAGCACGTTCCTCGCTTATAGAAAAGTTATTAGAGCACCAAGGAAAATCAAGCTGGGAGAACAAGCTTTCTCGACGATTAAAAAAGGCGATGGTTTGTAAACACCCCAACCAACAGTCTGTTGATTGATATCACCGCGCAGACGATCCACGTAAGTCGAAGACAAAGCACCTTTTCTCAAATTTTATAAGATTTCAAAACCAGATGTCGTTTATTTATGTGCCATCACGTCATTACTTATCAATAATGAGAACTAAAATTCCGGAATGGTCAAAATCAAATGTTGAAGTGTTTGACTCGGGAGCGAGGTCGTGCATTCAATACGCCATTCATAAAAAAAATTTGTACACATATGTATGAATGACAGCGGTCAATAAATGGCAATGTTTTCATTTTTCGTGGGTAAAAAGTGTGTTTTGTGACCACAGCTATTTATGGCTTGAGAATAATTTTTCGCACATCACGCGAATTGATGGCAGATGTCACAATGACTGACAAACAGACAGTTTTTGAACCTTGGTCACATCTGTCATCACTGAACATATGAAGACTTTGAGGCAGTCCAACAAAACCGACTTTAGACGAGAGTTTTTTACATTTAAGTTGAATTTTTCGACTGAAAATCATTGACCTTTGCTTATTAAGTGAATAGCACTCCTCGATGTGATTAACAGACTGAAGTACGACTAGACAGAAACCGCGTAACCATTAGCCACAAATTTCCCACGTCGACCACTTCCATACGAAAGTGCGCGTGACTTCGGCTCTGGATTTGACTGATTTGAGTTCTTTCAGATTTTGAATAATTAAATAAGAGTTTTTAAAGTAGTAGTATTCTTACTTATGGACCGTGTGAGAATACAAAGCATACCTTCCCTCCTTTGTAACAATCATTTCGGTCTGGTGCTCCTTGAACTTCTCCCATAGCTCCTTGTTATGAAGTAACACTTTCATTACTGTCCTCGGGGCTGATTAGTGATTACAAACAGCAGCTTGGATCTTACAATAGTACAGTGCTTTCGACGTAAGTTATTGGAGCAAATCTTGTGATTTAGACTTAAATACGCTGTAGTATGAAAGGCAGACGCGAGTTGTTCAGCGAACGAGTTATTTGGCGCTTGCCAAGTTATTACAGCTTGAACAACTAAACAATATGCAGAGGTGCGACGCATTTTGACAGGGCCGGAAAACTCAATCTCAAATAACAACACGATTGGTGACATTCAACACCTTCTTGGGCCTTATGACTGACAACTGGCCACAAAGGATAAGCCAGTCTAATCCGGCACTTCTAAGCGAGGTGTGAAGAGAGAGAATGGAAAGGTGGTGAGTGTTCATGTTACAAATTAGTGTCTTTGAGGCTTAAAAACCGCGCTTGGGGAAAATCGCTCATGGTTTGCTTGCGCCTTGGAGGATGAATTGACGCCGATATCAATTTTGATGTTATCGTTTGAAGATCATAAACCATCCAATCTCGCAAAGTTGGATACAGGAAAATATCTCGAAGAACTGTAATTGAGGGATCCTTTCCTGGTTTTTGCTCTCAGTTAAAATTTACAGTTTTTCGACTTAGTGACAGCGATTGCAGGTTCTTTCCGGCAACTTCGGTTGTCGGTTTTATTATTATTATTATTATTATTATTATTATTATTATTATTATTATTATTATTATTATTATCTCTTTTATCATAGTCTTTGCTGGTGTCCTTTTTGTGCATCAGCCGGGCGCAAACCATGCACTTAAAGCGTCAGTCACTCAAGTCAATCATTCTGTTCATACACTGAGCACCTTTCCGAGGATTCGCGCAGATCCCAGCATGCAGATCTTTTTTATTATTATTATTATTATTATTACCATTATTATTATTATTATTATTATTGATTTATGTGGTTTGGGGGTTTCTCTGCTTGCTTCCGTTTCCGGTTTTGCTGTGCTGTTTGAATTGAAGAGGTGCAATGTCTGCGAAGTATTCCGCCCACGTTCGGTATATTAAAGTTCTAACATCGCTACGAGGCTTTAGGAACAAAAGTGCAAATTTTCACGACTCCGTTGTCTCGCAATTTCCAGAAGAGAATTGAGCACAAAGAAAACCAAACCAAATATAGAAGTACCATATTTATTCGAATAAGCGCCCAACCTCGAATTAGCGCCCACCTCGAACAAGCGCTCATCCTAGAGGCAGAAAAAGTTAATAAGCGCCCAGCCTCGAATAAGCGCCCACCCCACCCCACTCCCTCCCACAAAAACTCCAATAAGATATAATAAGAGACCCTCCCGAAGAAGGAGTTTTCTTCAGGGTAGTATTGTACAGAAACCTTACTTTGTTACATCTTCCCTTTTTGTTATTAGCATTTACTGTTTTGTTGCAAAATATACGACTACACTTGCTGAGAATGGTGAAATTTAATAAGCGCCCAGCCTCGAATAAGCGCCCACCTCGAATAAGCGCCCACTCTCAAGGTCCAAAAATTTAATAAGCGCCCAGGGCGGTTAATCGAATAAATACGGTATAATATGACCAGAAATTAGTTGTAAGTAGTTATTCAATATAACCCCCCTCTCCCCAGAAAGTCCGTCACAAAGATTTCCAGTCTTCTTTTGAAAACCATAATGGCGTACGAATTTCCTCCTCCCCCCCCCCCCCCCCCCCCCCCCCCCGATAAATTAACACGCAGCAGCCCTGGTAACATTCATGGACACATGACAAAAATGGGAATGTATGGCTCAAATCAAGCATGTAGTGGATGTCTTACGTGAAAACTCACCTTCACCTCACCTTCTTGTTTCGCCGAAAAGCGCAGGAAACTAGCCTTTAGCCAAATTTTCTCTGCTGTTAAAAATAGAAACGTTCTTTTCGGGGAAATGTATACCAAAGGCATGGACAGCTTGTGTGTTTCTGATCGGTGATTGCGCAGTGGTGAACTCGGCAATCGACCTCAGCAGTCAGACGGGTTTTTGAATAGTCTACCGATAAGTCAGTTTCACTGATCTCTTTTTCCATGAGCTTGCACAGTTCATTTAGTTACAGTATCTGTCAGACTGACTGAAGCAAGTAGTTTCGCAGGGTAGTGAGTTAGCCCTCCGCTGGTTTGGTATGGCCACCTTACAAATTCTACTCCTGTCTCTGAACATTTTGATCAACCGATTACTCTATAACGTCCTTTTTTTTTCCCTTAGAACTAATCCGTAGCAACCGTGACTTTGTCAGAAGGCACGCGAGGCTCACCTCATTGACAACTAAAAGCTTAGAACCCCGCGCGGTATAATAGAGAAGATGAACTCAATTAGTGATATTTATTTTCTTAGTAGCAGTTAGTAGCCCATCAGTTTCTGTTTGCTATGGATTCAAATCTCGCATATGTAACGTTCATATTGAATCTGTATTCATTTTTCTTTTTTAGCCACCGTCGGAAGGTCTGTGTTGCAAACCGAAATATCGGGCAAATATAATACACCACTTTATTTTTGCTTCTTTTCTTTATTTTTTCTATCACTCTTCCTGCCGTAAGGCAGGGGCACCCAACGAGAATATAGTTCAAAACCACTTAAACATAGCATTGTTAAACGTATTTTAGCATAATAGGCATATTTTTATCCCCTAAAAATTTTTCATCTGTTCGGATTTCCTAGCTGAAAGTCTAGTGATCCAAAAATCAGTAGGGATGAAAACTTACGTTTTCGAAAATTTCAGCCAGAAAAAAGGCTCCCGCAAATTCTAGGTGAGCTTTTTAGGATAAAAATCCTTTAAAAATGGACAATTACACCATTTTTTAGATGTTCGAAAATCCTAGGAGAGGAAGGCAAGCAAGAAATTTTACAACAAATGTTCCCAAAACTAGATCTTAAATCGTCTTCAGAACAGATATTTTTCGAAATTGATGTTGGGTTCCCCTGGTAAGGATCAGTGTACTTTTATACTACTACAAGAGAAATTTCTGCAATTTGATTGGCTTAGAGCAGTGGTATTTCAGCTTAATTTGAAACTGACCTACAGATGAAAATTACAAAATTGGGGGAACTGGAGCTGAAATGCGTGCCGCAATTGTTTCTGAGATAGTTACTAGTAGACTGGAAAACAGACGGTTTTTTTCTCAAAATCAGTAAAGAAAATGTTTTCAGCCTCGTTCCAGACCTTTTGTTTGACTGCTGGCGTGTACTTGAATACGCAAAAATGCGGACTGTTTTGCAGTCTAAGTTACTGGGGACTAACAAAGAATACGGAATAGACCCAGTTTTTACCGATACGGCGGCCATATTGAATTAATTCGATTTAAGGAGTATTGTAGGATGCCCAGGGGACATGAGCACATTTCGTTTGTATTTTCGAGTGCTTTTCGGGACATTTTTTCTTAAAGTTTTCTTAGAATAAGATTGTAATGGGAAAAAAGATCCTTGTGCCGTGTTTGGATGTAATAATGATCGCCTTTTTCTAGTTTAGTATTAGAAATATGGTCTTTCACTGTATATCTCTCGGGAAAAGGGCGATCATTATATACATCAAAACACGGCACAAGGATCTTTTTTCCCATTACAATCTATTCCAAGAAAACTTTTGGAAAAAATGTCCCGAGAAGTGCTCGAAAATACAAACGAAATGTGCTCATGCCCCCTGGCCATCCTGTAATACTCCTTAAGTCGACTTAATTCGGTATGGCCGCCGTATCGGTAAAAAGGTCTATTCAGAACCTGAAATCCAGAATCCAAGACTGTCTTACATGACGCAACCGATATTCCAGTTGAATGGAATCACTTGGAGAAAGTCATTTCCGAGCTCCATGCAAAACTGACCCATACGTTCAAACTGAGAACCCGTTCATGTTAAAACGAATTTTTCTTTTTATAAGTAGAAAAAAGAACATTTATATCAGACTTCGCCCTTACCCTGATTTGATAAAGAGACCAAGGAATACTTGGAAACGCGGCACGCCCTAGCCCTGATATAGCCCTAGTTACAGACCTTTGCAGCATCCTTGATGAACAAATTCAACAACTCGAGACTTGGTGACAAAATTTAGGCCTCATTCACACGAATCCGCGCATTCTATTAGTCCTCAAAAAAGTGTTCGGATTTGTGTGAATGGGGCCTAAGTGATTTGTATGAAACTGTCCATGCAAGCTTCGACTTCGTTTCATTGCGTGTTTATACAGAAATGAAACGTGGGAAAGGTCTCTTGCCTGTTTTAATAAGTAAACGACATCCAAAACTCACGTCCTTTGAACCAGAACTTTATTTACGTTCTTTTACACATTAAAAAAAAAACAAGGCTATCACCATGCATTGATTACGGAGACTACTTATAATTAAACCTCTATAGTCTATGCTTTATAGTAAACCTTTCAGTTACAAATGAAAAGTAGTAAGACAAAAGTCAATGCAAGTTTGACATAAATGAATGAATAACAATTTCTTGCATGCAAGTTTGGCGACTCATTAGCGGTAAACGCAAAATCATTGCTATATGATCATTTACACGCAAGCAGATAAGCTGTCAAAAGTTACTGTCACTGCTATCCTGGTATCCGAACAGAACACCTTTAATAGGCGTGCTAAAAGCAGGAGCAGACAGAGCGAGATAGTCAAGAGCGTGCTTATATCCTCCTAACCTCCCCCCCCCGCCTCTTCTCTGCGCCTCCTTCTCAGTTGCGCCTGACGTGGATTCAAAGACAGGACAACAAGTTCATTTTTCATACTTTAATACTATTTCCACATTTCAATTTCACACTTTTTTAAACCAAATAAAGCTCAAAGGCAAAATCTTCTTGAATTAGAAGGTTAACGCTTATCATAAGAGGCGTCAGCATAGTGAAAGCTCAGAAAGCTGCTCTTGCATCCACTTTAAACTCAACAGGAATAGCTTTTCAGGTACAAATGTAAACTTAACTACTGAATGGATTCACACATCAAATTTAAGTTCTTTAATTTCTACCAAATTTGGTGGACTTTTATTTCTTTAAAAGGCTTTAATTTCTACCTCAACACCGTCGAATATTTATTTACAAGTAACAACTGGAGAGATCCTTGGAATGATTTTATTTAA